ATACCCTTCATTTGGAAGCCACTCTGTTTTAAATTTCTAAGGATTTTTACAAAACTGAGGGAAGCATTTTGAATTTCGAAAGAACATTAGGTACATTTTACACTTTGAGAACTTTGTGAAAGGTTTATCAAGTGTTGATCACTTTTGTCATTAGATTCGCTGTTGTGCAATTTAAATTACATTTTAATTTTGACCTCATACCTGGTAGGCACTCTGACTCGAATTGGATCATTTTTGTGTTTAAAGGTCTTTGCAAGAGTTTATGTTTTAGGGTATATGCAGTTTGAAAGTAAATTCAAATTTATCCTCAGGTATCTTTAGAGTATCTGCCGATCTTAATTTCAAGCCTTAGAAAACAGGTTTCTATATTTAACTTCCTTTCACAGCATTTCCTAAAAAGAATGTTTTGTATGTCAGTGAAATCAGTGTATTGCATTCCTCTGTTTAAAAAAAAAATGTCCATTTTTCCCTCTACACAGTAAACATGGCCACAAGCAGGCTGATAGGAGCTGTGGCCGGCACCATGGGGTGACTTTTGGAGGCATGGGGTAGGAACAGAGTAAGCACCCTTCTCCACGTCGGAGTCTTTGGTGCCTGGTGTGCCAGGCAATGCGTGGTACCACACCCCTTTGTGTTTCGTCCCGTCGACTGTGCTTCCTGTGCTGTGCCGATGGTGGTATGGTTTGATGTGCTCGTGTCCTGAGGTTTACTTGTGCAGTTGTGGCACCTTCTGTCTGGAACAGTGAGGGGGATAAAACATCACTGGGGGTGCTTACGGTTCTATTCTCCAGTAAGACGACAGCCCCAAATGGCCATCAATCCTCCATAAAAACTATTTATTGGCAAAGTTGCTTTTATCCCAGTGTTTTCTTTGGATCGTTGTTACGAATTTATTCTTCATCAGTCTAGCCCATGTGTACAATTTGGAATTAGCAGCAGCTGTTAAAAGAGAATAAAAATGGTAGCCATTTAATGTCATCTCCATTTATTTAAAAGAGTGTAAGAGGCTTTAGCTTAAATTTTAAAAAGAAGATATTTAGGATAGTACCTGTGGGTTTTTTTCTTATTGGATAGGTTACTAATTGAGATTGAGGTTTAAATAAATATTTGGGACCAAGAAGGAGTAAGAATCGAGACATACTTAGTCCGGTCTTGCGTGACCTTCAGTGAATGGCTGCAGTCATCTGGTAGTTTGTCCTAAAAGTATCCAGTGAAGCAGTCAGGGTGCTGAGTGCCACCTGTCCAGGAAGCTTGCTGCCTCTGCTCATAGGTGGCCATCCGTTGTCTGTAAGACACTGCTTAACGAGATCGCTCAGCCAAAAGATGATCAGGATATCTCCCTGTCTAGTTACAGAGAGAGCATTTACCAATGGCAGGATTACCTCTCTGCTTCCCCATTTACTCTGCTAGTGATGTGGTAACATTCACAGTACACCAGATATGGAATACTAGCAGCCTGAGGGTCACCAGGTACCCTTTACTCAATCACCCCAATCAACGGCATGGCGATGGTAATGGACGTGGTCCCGCTTGGTGCCATTGATTATAACCCGGGGACACTTTTCTTACCTTCTCGGAGTTGAGGGATCCAGGCATTGAGGTAGCATGATGAGGGGAACAGGTGACAGGTTATACTTTGTGCTGAAGGTGACACAGGTCTTTCCTTATCTCAGTTGGAAGGACTGACTGGCCTTGGATCTTTTAACTCATATCCCATGAGAATGGACTATAAACCTAGTAGCCCAGAGAAATAGAAGCACTGGAAAAGACATTTTGTTTCTCTTGTCTGGTTAGGAATAAAATATGTGATGGAGATAAAATATTTAGAAATAACAAGAACTTTGTCCTGTAATATTTCACCTTAGGGCTCTTGGTTAGATTATGTTTATGTGAACTTCCTCAGAAAAAGGCATTTTCTAAAACCCATCTCAGTGTGGTTATATATTGCTTATAGACCATAATTTTAGTGTCCTGAACTATGCTAATTCAAGGAATGAATTTTACTAGTCCTTCCTTTGAGCCTTAGAGCTGGGCAAAATTTTAAAATGTTGCATAATATGGTCCTTGTGGCCAGTGTTCATTTCCAACCATCCTCTTCTGATGTTGGTTCGCTGCGATTTCTGATTCTGACAGGTAAGTTTGTATAAGTGTAAAAATATTTTTTCAAAGAAAAATTCATTATTTTCATTCTTGTTTTTATGGACTTTTTATTTACTAGTTTACTTCTTTTTTCCTTCTAATTTCACATTTTTTCATAATTGCTAAATAGTTTTTAAAAAAATAAAATTCAAATACTACACTATAGACTTTCTTGACACTTTAACTGATAGTGTCACCTTCATTTAGTCACTGGAGAGTCCATGGACAGATTTAATTTTTTTTCTTGTTTCTACTTCTCAGTTTATAATTGTAAATCAGGAATTATTTTTCATAGATTATGTAGTGAGTCTAGTCCCAACCTATCTTTTCTGAGCTACAGAGTACAAATTGTCCAAAGTACACTGTCTATACAGGTAATAGAAATACTTTTTATAATTCAAAAATTGATCCTTTATTGAGATGTGGGAAGGAAATAGGTGTAAATGGAATAAAGTTTCATCAGAGCAAGGATTACCAGAGATCCTGTGAAGGGCCAGATGATAAATCCTCTGGCTTCCAGGCTATGGGTGTCAGCATTGCTGTCTTAGCAAACAGCAAGCCATAGCAGTATGCAAACCATTAGGAATGACTGTGTCCCAATCACCTGTCTGTAAAAACAGCTGGTGAGCTCACATTAGGCCTGTGAGCTGCAGTGTGCTGAGCCTGCTTTAGAGAGTAAGGTTTAGAGTCAGACAGATCTGCTTCCATTGCTTCTTAAGTTCCAGAAGTCTCTGTTCCTTCCTCTGTTGGATGGGGACAGTCATAATTCCTACCTCACGGGTTTTCATGGTAATCAGGTGCTTTGACAGGAGATGGTGTGGTCTTGGGACCGCACTGGTGCTTAGGATGCGGCTGGTGTATAGCAAATGGCTTTCTTTGCTGATTGTTATTGTTCACTGTTATCGGTGGGTCTCTAAGACCACTGAGAGCCACGTCCTGTAGAACCTCTGTTTAACAGTCAGAGCCCAGGACCAGCAGAGAGCCGGGTCCCCAGGATGCCCTCGGTCTGCCCACCAGCCCATGCTGGCCAGTGTCGCTGGGTGTAAGCATCACGCACATGGCTTCAGTGCTGCCAAAAGTGGCATCCACTTATGTGCACAGTTGAGGACACTGAGGGGAGCAGAAAAGAGAATTTTTTTACACAGAAATAGAAGTATTATGAACTTGAGGATTTTAGGAAAAAAATTAGCATTATTGGCCATGTGAATTTTGGGATAGGGATACAAGGTATGATCCAAATATGCGATGAACATTAAATTTAAAAACATATTGCAGTAAAAAACATTGCCATTAACACCTCTCGAAATTTCCCTCCCACCCCGAGTTTGAACACATGTATCCACTGTTCTTGTCACTTTCTGAAGCAGTTCGGGGAGTCAGTCCTCTCTGCTGAGTGTGTTGGTAAGGTGTGGTTGAAACACGGTGAGTGCTGCCACCAAGGACCGCTCAGCAGAAGTGCAGGCTCGCCAGAGCCTCACCTGTTTCTTGTCTGCCTTGGTCACTGTGCCTGACACCGCGTGACTTCTTCTGGCTTCCCCCAAATCAGAGTGAGCGGGTCAGGTAATGTTTTGAATGGATTCAGGACATTGAGGCAGTTACAATAGCACCAGAAAGAGTCCAAACCTTCCTCCCAAAAGCCTTCTGGAACTGCATGATGCTGGGATAAGAGAGCGAGCTAGGGAGAGTGTTTTCAGGGGAGCCAGGGCAATCTTGTTTTTTTTGTTTTTTTTTTTTTTTTTTAATAATAATTCTTTTTACTGCTAACATTCACCGTCTTTTGGGAGCACACCTTGAGATCAGTTAGGGCTGACAGTATTTTGTCATGACGGAACATTGTATTAATGTCCTGGAGGATTTAAGATTTCATATAGTTCTTGTAATACATTCAACAATGGTGCTTAGATTTTAAAATGCTGAGTGGGGTAGAAGACTGGAGTTCTTAGAATTTGTTGTCATTATTCAGTAATGACAGAAACTCTGTTTTCTTTTGTGCTGTTGTTCACTCCTTTTTTCTTTTTTTTGTAACAACAAGCCTCAAATTTCCCTTAGTAGTAAATGAAAATTTAAAAGATGTTCTTGCCGAAGGTATAGCTCAGTGGCCGAGAACCCACCTAGCAAGCTCAAGGTCCTGAGTTCTATTCCTATAAATAAATAAATAAATAGGGGGGAAAATATTTTCATGGAATCTCAGGCATCCTTTTTCCCTCACATACTTCTTTCCCATCTTGCCTTTGGAGCTCCATTTTTGGTGTTTAACATTGTAGTAACTGAGAAGAAGCATCTCAGGGCAAAACTTTCCAGTTGGGTTTTTATGTGTCTCCCATTCTGACTTCTAAAGCTTAACTGTCTTTAAATGTGGGATAATCATAATGAGGATGATAATAACAAACAATAATAAAAAGCATCCAGAGCACTTTGCACTTGCTGGGAAGAGCACTTTAGAAGAATAATTTTCCTTCTTTTCATGTCCCTTTTGCCAGTCAGGTTGAGCTAATTCTAGCGCACTTGCATTCTTTATGTGCTTTTTGGATTCATGATACTAGGGGAGGAGAGAGGAGAGGTTAAAGGCACACAGAAAATGCCAGCAGGGCCTGTCCGCCTCAGATGCTGCAAGAGATGAATTTAATGGGACTGGATTGTCACTGGTGCAGAAACTTCAGATTTAAAGGGAACTAGATTTGAGCAATCGCTGACTGGCATCTGAAGCGTGAGTGCGCTAAAGAAATAAAAGTGACTTAAAATGTTCAGTGATCTCGCGTGGTGGGGTGTTGACTTCCCAAAACCTCCTGACTGCCTCTCCCTGTGGAATCCAGAAGTGGTTGGCTCACACGACTTTCTCCCCGTGGTCCTCTGTCACACAGGTCCTAGTGCCACCAATCTCATAATAGGCTCCATCGCTGGCGCCATCCTGGTAGCAGCCATTGTCCTGGGGGGCACAGGCTGGGGATTTAAGTAAGCAATACTGCATGTCTTCTCTCGGGGTTCTGGCGCCTCTCTTCTCTGCTCCCATCACCAAGTTTTGAGTTCCTGCTACAAGGTTTTGACAGTAAGACTGCAAACAAAGACTTTCACTCCCAGACGGGTTAGGAAAGAAGGAACGGAGCATCTGAAGTGGCATCGTCAGGCAGGTGGGGAAACATGAGAAAGAGAAGGGGGTCGCAGGCACCTGTTCAGAAACAAAGCTGAAGTTGTCTGGCAGGCTGCCTCCGGTGGGCCGGGCAGGGGACTTCCACTTAGGCCAGGAGACTTGCATTCAACGCACCGACAGCCAGGAAACATAAACCAGAGAGAAAGCATTTACATCTGCATAAAACCACCAGAGAGAAAGTGTTTATATCTGCATAAAACCAGTTTGTGGCCCACTGAGATTTTCACAACCTCAGTCACCAGAGTGTAATATCTTACATAACTGTGATTTGAAAACTTATTTCTAAAAAATATTTTCGTTCATTCTCTAACCAAGTGAAGTGGTCTAAGATGTGGATTTGAAATCGATGGCTCTGTGACATGTAATATTTTCTAGTAAACTGCTACTCCTGACATAACTGACGGGCCATCTACATTTTCATGGTGACCTTTTAGATTGGGTTACTTTAATACACTATGCTAAATAATCAAAAATAAACCTTAATGATCATTTGATATTTAAAAACTGATTCATCTAGTTTGGAGACACCTCAGATTCTTAGGATAATCACTGGTTTGTATCTTTTTCAGGTTGCACACAATGATTTGTGAGTAAACCCTGCTGTGCCAAATATTTGATAGATTAAGTTTCGACCAGATCTGTTAAAACAAGCAGAAAGCAGGACCGTCAGCCACATTCAGAGCCACTCTGCCTCCATCTAAACTAATGGAACAATTGCCTTAAATTATGACCTTTGCTTTATTTTGGAATCCTGAATTCCATATATTTAAGCTAACTAAAATATTATTTTTTAAAATATCTATACAGTTAGTACATATTTGTAGTACATGATAGTTACACTCCTCATGGGCAGTTGCACATGTGTATAACACATCTTAATTCCTATTTTATGTCCTTTCCCTGTACTCCATCAAGATGATTATTTTTTTTTAAATGCCCCCAAAGATGATTTAAGTAAATTCAACATTTCCTGCTAATTTATTGTCACATTAAGATTTAATGAGTTAAATGTACAGTTTTGAATGGTGTCCACTTGGAAGGGAATTACCAAAATGTTACTTCTTTTTCTGCAGAGCTATCTATAAATTTGAATTTGTTAAGTGAAATAGTAGTTTAGACATCAGTGTATTTGCAAACACATACACACACACACACACACATACCCACATGCAGTGGACAGGTGATACTTGGATTTCTCATGACGTCAGCAAGGTGTTCCTGAGACAGAGTCGCTTGTGTGGCTTCTCACAGAAACTGTCGTCTGTTCGGATGACGTCATTCCAGCAGGACCTTTTGTTAGTGTCCCGCCACTTTAAGAAGTCATTGCACATTGCAGTAATGCCAGTCTCTATCATTTTATGAGGCTCCCTTGTCCTTTTTCCAATGGGCGGGATGTGTGCCTTCCTGGCGATGAGAACCTCAGTCTCAGGACCTGGGAGATGGTCCACTGTGCATCCTTGCTGTACAGCCATGTGCAAGGCCAAATTGACCATTCCGGCATTGGGAGACAGCAGCACATGATTCTGTAGCAGGACCTCAAAACGGTGGCCTGGCCTAGCTCACAGCTTGAATTGCATGTTTCTCTGGGGACAAATGGAGAAGCCTTTGTCACTGTGTGTGTAAGTGGATTGGCCCTGTGCAGATGATTTCTGTCCAAGAGGAAAGTCTGATCATCAGAAGAACAAGAGAAAAGGCCAGGACTGGCACTCAGTCACATCTGGAGGTGACAGCTGGCCTCTGCTGCCTGCCTTTCGAGGGATGATGGCGTACAGGTCCAGCTGAGCTAAGTCACGGCCCCTCTCTGTGCCTTCTGACTCTAATAACCACCTTAGGGGAAAGCTTTGTAGAAAGCTGCACAGTAGTGTGAAGTAAATATTTTCATGCCATGTAGCCAGAAAAAGGAGGACTAAGAATAATTCTCTGCTTTGGGAGTTTGGAGCTGGAAAAACCACAGGACTTCATGCTGAGTATTAATTGCTACCTGATTTGCTTTAGACTTCAGTAGTAACTGTGCAGTTTGTACTAAGCCTTAAATAATTACTTTTACCTTGCAACAAAAGACTTTTGGTGCTGAATGATAATGTTTAGGTTTGCCTACCTCTTGTGTAGCTTTGGAGATTATTAATCTAGAGATAATTAGGAAGTATAGTTTTATACTAGTTGAACTGAAAGCCTTTGATCGTTTCTTTGAACTCAATGTAAAATTAAAAAAAAAACCAGGATCTAAAATGAATATAGCTTGTAACAAAGATTACTTGAACGAGCACTATTAGGAATCCTTCTTGGAATTGTGTTTTTATTACTAAAAGAGAAATTAGAAAAGTCACCTGAAGAATATATAGGTGGATATAAGCTTTTAGACTCAAGCAAAGTTTATTACACTGCTCAGGGAAGATACTACTCTTTTTTAATGTGACATTCCCTGGGTGTAGTACTCTGAGAGGTGGTGGAAGTCACTTTCCACCCATGATCTGCTCAAATACACAAGTATACGTAGAAATACAGTATGCCCGACATCGCCTGCCTTGCTGTATAACTTTTCTTAAACCACATTTTTTTAGCGTGGAAATAGGCAATGGAGGGCATGCATATGTGAGTGTGGGTACGTGTGTGACTGTGTGTCCGTGTGTGTAACGTGATGATGGTTTGTCAATTGTGATCGGAAATGAACACAAAATCAGGTTACTTCTCAACAAAAACAGCTGTGTCTTAAAACTTTTGTTCATGGAAACAAGATTTCCACAGCAAGGTTGTAGGTTTTTTAAAAGTGTTTATTTGGCAAGTTAGTGTAATTTTACATGTTGTCCCGACATGTTGAGTCATGTGGTGGGTTTACCTTAGTAACCTTGGCCACACCCCAAAAGTGTGAGGATATTAAGGGGTGATTTAGTCTGCACAGTCTCAGGTTTTTAGAGTCTTAAGATTTGCTCTCAGAAGTCCTTGGAAAATAGGGACAAGGCAGACAGTTTACCCATCTTGTCTGCCTTTGTTTCTCTTCATCCCAAGCTCCTTTTCCTCTTCGTCACCTACATAGGACATAAAGTTACGAATCTGTGGGACAGAAGATTTCTGACCTCTTGTCCTTCTGGACTCAGGGAGGTACCTGATGCCTACCTAATGCTACACGATAATGCTTGCCATTAAACGATTACACCTTTGTTTCTGCCAGACATTCAAACAAATCAGATAGATGGTAGGACATGTTAGCGGTGTCTTCCCCAAAGCTTGTGTAGGAAAAATGAAATGATAATTTCATCTGTGCAATAAAAATACTGTTACCTTGGGCACAGCTATTGATCTGCCACCACAGGTTTACACATAGGCATTTAGACCTGAGCCCTGTGGGTGTTTATATGTACGTGGTATTTATCAGCACCATAGTTGGTGATAATAGGAAAAGAGAAACTTTGATGATGGTGGGAAAAGAACATAAAGGTTAACAGTGCCACAGTTTGCTGGTAGTTCAGGTGATGCAGATTCTGGGGTGCACAGGGAGCTTTGCTCCCACCTTACAGCGTCTTCCTCTGTGAAGCCCCATCCTGTCTCCCACTGTCACACTGCTGTTCTCTGAGGGACCTACGGGCAAAGTGGGGCTCACCACTGCCAGCCTCCAGAGCAGCTCCTGGCCCTGAACATCTTCATTTAATAGATCTGGGAACAGCACCCACGGTTTCCTTTCTCTGTTAGAGGTCACTAGGGCCGCAAGTTCGTCCTAAGCCTGTCTTTGGCTCGAAGAGATTCTTTTTGACTTCTGTCCCATTTTGTTAGGCCTGCAGAAGAAAAGACAGTCTGTGTGCTCTTGTAAATGAATTTAAAGGGCTGTACCTAAGAAAGCCATTCAGTCGTGCCAAATTTGCTACCTCTGTCTCTATCTCAAATGTCTTTGAAGGGGAGGAAAGGGTGCTTTATTTTTATAGAATTAGGAAAAGGAACAGACTTTACACGGTTGTCCATGAGGAACAGAAGTAAATGCTGTTTTTCTGTGACCACATCCCAGTGCAGAATAAGGAGCCAGGTTCCCTGAGGCGTGGTGCTCCTGGGCGAGGTACCCTTTCATTCCAGCCCTCGCAGGGGCGTCCCTGGTAGGGTGGCCAGGCAGGCACAGTGCCTTTCCTTGGCCCAGCCGCCCTGGGATGTGAGTTCAGTCTAAGGCAGCCTGGGAGGGATTTGGTGGGGGGCACTTGAGGGAGGGCAGCGGGATTCAACACAGAGAAAAAAGAATATGATAGCAGTAGATAAGTATAGGAGAGCTGCAAGCTTTATAGCTCTGAGACGGCTGTTATTACCTAGAGTTTTAATTTTTGTAGATGTGCATGTGTGTACCATATATGGTAGAGACAGAAGTCCAGATTTTTTGAAAGCAGCAAAAAATGATAAAAACTGTGTCACTGTGAAGTTTGTAGAATTACTATTTTATAAGAAAGTTAATTGTCTTCAGAATTCCAGCAAGCAAAGGGTTTTCAGAAGCAGCAGCGGGAGAGAGCAGGGCCTTCTGCACAGAAGTTGTTACTTTCACATTGAAATGGAGTGAACAAACAAAACATTCAGGACAGGCACTTTCCCAGCGGGTTTCACAGTGTTGAGGAGAGGAGCTTGGCAGTGGCCTCACTTAGGATGTCATCCCTTTCCACCCTGTCACCATTTCCTCCCCCTGCACTGCAGCAGTAAAAGAGAAAAGACCCTGCATCCCCCTTCTCGACAGTGAGCATTTTGCCATGGGAAAGCATGTTCCCCCAGGGTGGGCTGCCTCCTTGGCCTCCTTGGCCTGACTGAGGAGCCTGGTCACCAATAGATCATTGCTCTGTAAGAAATGCAGCCTCAGCTTCCAGAGCCTCTTCCAAGGTGCATACGCCTTTGCGTACCAGAGGTTGCCTGGGTATTGTCCTGTCAAGCTGAAGTGGAATTTCATATCCTCATTGAAAAGTGACCTTGGGTATCTTTATCTGAACTTGGACAAGTTATCTGGCCTTTCTTGTATTTGAATTAGGCAATTTAGATCAGGCAGTACAGGTGCCTATGCGCACCGTGCAAGTCTGCTTTGCTCTTTCTTCTGCATTCGGATAAATTGAGGAGCTCCAGTCTAACATTCCCCTGAGTTTTAGCAGTGTGCAGCTAAGTAGGGACAGCTGGGTCATTCCTCAAGCGCAGGTAGTTGGGTTCTCTCCCTTTTGACTCACACAGCCCTCTAGGTGTCCTTCAGGGGTATGGGCTTGGGCAGCAGACCAGGTCCATGTCCCTAGCTCACTGACTCAGCGGGAGACACATTGTGGGTGGCCTCCCATCTGGCCCACCTCATTTCCTGGGCAGCGGGCATCATTGCTGGCTGCTTTTCAGAAAACAGACTCGGAGAAACTTGGGGGCAACTGTGTAGCAAAACCAGCACCATTTGCTGCAAGAGATTGTCCCACAGGTGGACGCATCACACATGTAGGCCATTCCTGAAGGTGCTTTAATGAAAACTCTTAAGGGAACGGAGGTTTTCTTTCAAAATTTATGCTTGCTAGTTCAAAGAGGGCATGAAGTGGTCACTTGGGGAGCCATAAGAGTAATGCAGGACACCTTGCAGCATCCTTAGAGCTTGGTCCACGTGTTTCTTTCGCATTACTGAGTGGGGAGGAGGACTCTGTAGTGAAGCTTGTGGTTCTTAGGTCCCGAGTGAGGGGCAGGGGAAGGAGGGTTCTGGGGACTCCTTGGTCTCCAGTGCTGCATGACACCTCCATGGCAGAGCAATGCACTCGCCAGTCTGCAGAGCAATGCATGAGCCCTGCTTGGTGCGCCACGGGAAGCCAGTCCACGGGGAGGTTACAGACAACTTCCGGTGTTGCCTTGTGGTGCCTTCCTTGCTGGTTCTTTCTTTTGTCTTTTCAAACGTGGGAACCGCTTGTGAGGAGGCTGGACACTGTGAGCAAAGCATTTTAACTTACTGCTTTCCAGTTGCGCTGAATTGCTGCATTGCTTCACTAACGCACACCTGTGTCCACACTCCTGCGAGGCTCGCGTCTCAGCGTGCACTCCGTTCCTCAGCCTTCCAGTTTGAAAGAATGCTTGTTGCATAGAGGAGTAAGAGCTCACACACCCGAAGCAGCAGAGTCAGGAGAGCAAGGCCTTTCTGCTGCATTGGCAAAGGCCGGTCCGCTGGCTCCGATCTCTGGGGATTGGAGGGAGCACCCGCAAGACCTCTGGGACCCTTCTCAGCTCCTCCTGGAGCCCCTGTGGGGAAGGCGGTTCCTTGGAATGGTGCTCACCTAGTGAATTAGTGATGTCATTTCCTTCTGAAATGAGACAAAATGGGCTGGGAGTTTGCTCATGGTGGAAAACGAGCAGTGTGAAGTTTCTGGATCTTCACAGAACTGCACAGTCTCTTGGGGAGGTGGGAAAATGTTGGAAAACCTGAGCGATTGTGAGTTTCAAGTTGTTTTGGAGGCTGCCGCTGTGTGAGTTGATTACTTCGCTGTGCAGCTAGCATGACTGTCATTCTCATCCCCTTTCTCTCACCACCCTCTGATTGATGTTGTGGATTTCTCTCCCCTCTGCTTGCATCTTTTGACGCACTCTGGAAGAAATGTCAAGAAGAGGAGATTTGATCCTACGCAGCAAGGCCCCATCTGAGTCCAGCGCACCCCACGAGCAGCGCCTTGCCCTGCTGGGTTCTGGGTATGATATACGCGCAGCAACGCTGGCAGAACTATTAAGTCTTTAAACTGGAACACTGGGCGTTAATGAGCACGGAGCTAAAGCTGGGGTGACCAGGATGGGGGAGAAGGAAACTACTCCTTTTGGAAATAACTTCAAAGAACCCCTCCCACCACCTGTTGGTGCCAGTGGGGGAGGGTAAAAGATCACGTTATAAAACAACTGTTCAGACTTTTTTTCCCTCTTTCTAACTAAAGGAGAAAGGAACAAAAAATTTAAGTGCAATAAAAGACCCATTAAAAATAGCATATGATTTTTTCCCCCTCAGCCTGCTGGCACTTATATCTTCAAAATGATTTGGCATGATTTTCTTTTCTTTTGTTACCAATGACAAACTCCAGTGGCATGAAGATCCAATTTTCGAAAGGGTAAGAACTGCATGGCATATATACAGCAACAAGCTAGCGAGCCAATCCTCCGCAAACCTGCAGGGAATTCCTTAGGGGAAGACGACAGATGAACGATGAATGCACAGAAGCTGCCTGGGCCAAGCGACCCCTCTCCAAGCCCTGCCCCAGCCCCTTCCCTCCCGGGGGAGCCCGCTCTCCACTCCAGACCGGCCTCTTGTTGATTCATTCCCCCACTATTATTATTATGATTATCTTTCTTTTCTGGACCAAGCATCTTTGGAAATGGGAGCTGGAATTTGAACAATGATGCTATTGTATAGTTCTTTTATAAATGTAAATATGGAAATAAGAGATTTTGACACATCATTTTCACTTGTCTGAATCCAATCTTTCCTTGTAACGATTCTCTGTAAATGTGTTTGTTGCTTGCCGCCCTGTTGGTTTCTTTCCTCAAGTTCTTTCTTTCCTTTTTGGTGCCTGCCCTCTCTTGTACCATGTCCCATGACTGTCAGTCTCGCTTAAAAAGACAAACATAGCCACAGATGCAAGGAGTTTGGGCACAGAAGTCGTGCAACTTGGTGTTAGTAGGTTTGAAACCAAAAGTAAACAAAAGAGAAGACAAAAACAACAAGTAACCCATAGCAAAAAACAAGAAAATTCTGTAAATGAAAATATATGTACTCACAAGTCTCAAAAACCTTCGGTGTTATTATAAACATGTATATAATGTAAGAAAGTAGACACCCTCTCAAATTAATCACAGAAGTGCCAAGCTCATGATTTTAGTCCTTGGTTGTGACAATTTTCTTTCCGTCTTTAATGTGAAAGGAGGATAAACTTAAAGCCTTAAATAAAAAAAAAAAAATACTTTTTAAATGTTGAAAGCTTGGAAAAACTTAAGCTTTCCATTTTATTCATATCTATTATTAATATTCCATTCATGCTTCACTTGCCTGCCTCGCAGTCTACATGGTTGAACCCCACTGGCAAAGGGGGGCCGCGGCCAGAAGCCCGCTCGGTGGTGCTGTGTCCAGGCAGCAGTGCGGAACACGGTCAAGGCTTCCTGAACCCTGGCGAGTCATATGGTTGTAATGGGATTCCACCATGGACACAAGCACATCCTCTCCCCTCCGGGCAGATTTGCAGATGCAATCTTGGGGTTCCCAAGGCCCTCTGAGTTTCCTTCACGTTCTCCAGTTTCTTTGATTTCTGGCCAAGATCCCTTCCACTCAAGTGTGACATGAACAAGTTTTAATAAGGAAACCTGGTCCCTGTTTCAGTGTACAAAGTCTCTTCAGTGAGCATCCATCCAGATATGACTTTGACTAATGACCCCACAAGCCCCTCCCCCCACTTCTTCAGCATCTTTTTAGGAAAAAGACGTGCACTTGTGCCACGGATGGTGTTGGGAACCATTCCACCTAATGAGTGGTGTCCCCGGCCGGAGTCTTTAGAGCTCTCATGATGGCAGAGCAGAGACTTTAATTTCTGTGTGCAGAAGAGCGTAGCTTAACCTCTTGCTCTTAGTACTGCTTTCTGAATACTAGGTGCTACACAGGATGCATCCTTCTCTAGACCTTGCTCGCTGTTTAGATTGTCATAACAGGGCTGTCTAGAAGGTTTATGAGCCTTCCTCTTGGTTTCACACAACAGGTTGTATCCCTTTACTTAACAGCGATGGTTCTTGGAGGAAGGTTGAAGGAAACTCAGATTACTTGGTAGCTCTCCCTGTGCTCACACCGCCGAGTGGCTCTTAACTGAGAGATGCCAAGCTGCTGCTATCTGCACCACCCACATTTCACTGCTATTCCAGAGGCACCATGTTGACTTAACACACATCAAAGCGTGGTGGTTACAAAACAAATCTCAGTTACTAACTTTTGAGCATTTCACAAACAACATTGTAAATGTGCGATGTTATGTTTTAAATCAGACCACAGTGGTCCCCAAATATTATGTACATATGACAAATGTCAGTGTAACTTTTCATTATGCTGGCAGTTTCATAGGTAATCACACCTATGCTCCAATGTTGAATTACTTGTGTGTATATGTAAAATACACAAGCTGTACGCTCTGTGTGTATGAATATGAAAAGATAATGCAACCACATCTTAAATAATGGATTATAATTATTTTTGGTGGTATTAGATTATGTAGTTTCAAACTCTTTGCTGTATTTTCTCTTGCGGATGGCATTCACTTGCCAATTTTTGTGGTGTGGGTACTCCTTCTTATTAATTTGAGCTCAAAGCACAAGCCTGTTACTGTTTCATGTTTCTCAACAAGAGTGTTAAGTGATGACCAAGTTCCCATTTCACCTGCTATACTTTTGCTGTGATAATTAATGGCACCTGGATAGGAGACGCACACCGGTTTCATTGTTCACCTGGGCCACTGCATGAGTCCACTGGATTAGAGCTACTCCTGCTAGACAAACGAGCAGTTCACATAGGTGCATGTTACAAAGCCTAAGTCCATGGAGCTGTGAAATTTTACCCTGTGATGTGTGTGTACATGTTTTTGTTTTCATATTATGCAAAGATGGGAAATGCACACACTTTTCAAAGACCTGATGTCTGAAGAACTTGACAAACAATACTTGAATTCTTTCTTTTGTCATCCCATCATGTTTTTATAGTCATTGTTGCTTTCATTGTTAATTTTTATTTTTCAGTGGTTTGTAATTTTTGAAGCACACAACCTGAAGTTTTGTTGGAAGTTAATAAATTCATTTCTCTCTTGTTGGCTGCCTATGAATGGAGATTCCATAGTTGTTGTATGCATCTTTTAGTGTATATTAAAACTTCCGTTAATGTAGAATGTGTACCTTTATGCTCTGATCATTTTTTTTCTTTAGTCCCTTTTACGTGTTTTCTGGCATTGTTGATTAAATGGCTGCGCGCCTGATAGCATCAGAGTTTTAGTACCAGGCTCAATCAAAGGCTCCCTGAAAATTTAAGCAGTCAGTGAACAAAATAAGATCTCTGATTAATGGTAAGTATAATCCTGATTAGGAATTGGTGTACTCCTGATTAGGAGGAGTAAGTTTTATTGAATTCATCACAAATTCTTTGCTTCTTATCAATGAGAAAGAAGAAAAGCAGCTTACGATCTTATGATTATCACTTTTTTGAAATTATATTTTAAAAATTTTGAGTTTCTCTTCTGAATAGATACGTAATAATAACAGCCAGACTTTGCCTGCCATCACATTTGCAATTAAGCTGTTGAAGAATAGAAAAAAATCTGACTATGCACATTACATTTTCAAAATATTCCAGAGAAGGTATTTTCTGAGAGCTCACAAATGAAATTGATTACTGTGTTAGTTTTTCTTTATGAATTTCTTCAAAATGTTACCCCACACCCCACTGCTGTCCCTCAGATCTGCCTCAGGCACCACTGTATAAAAGTGAGCTGCCACAGTGACACACACACATGCTGACTGATGACGTTTTCCTTTTAGAAAAGTCTCAAGGACTCTTCACTTCCGGTAGGATGCATTCCAGACTTTGTAATGTGGCTTACAGTTCTGCCCGCCTTTGTGATCTCACCCCGTGATTTTTCTAGCTTCTGTGACTCTTATCCTCTCTTATTTGAAGTTTCCCTAAAAAAGCCAAACAACAAAAAAAAAAAACCTCTCTTCTACCTAAGTCTGATCTTCTTTTAACTTTAGATCCACAATTTGTTATCCATAATTTTTTGTTTCATCTCATGTAATATTTGTCATCTCATGTAATAAAGGAAATACAGAAACATTTACAAATAACATAAATATTATATTCTAAAAAAATACATTAGAGTGTCATTTATATTTGACCTTAAAGGTGTGGTCTGGTTTTCTGCTGTGTTGTCCTTTAAATCATTCTGTTTTTTGAGGTTGTCATTGAAATGAGTCTGCTCCATGCACCCTGGGTGACTGATTGAAAAAGTTTACTCCAAAACCAAAAAACTCTCTAGATCATAGAAGTGCTATTTTAGAGTTAAAAATTTGGTGTAAATAATTAAGTAAATAATCTATGTGTTTAAGGTGGGATTTCTAAATAACCGAAAATTTAAAGTAGTTTCCCTCAAGGTTAATGCACCAATGTTAGGGACCTCTCCCTAACATTACCAATGCCAGTAATTTATTCATTCAACACTTTTTAAGCCTTCTAGAAGTTGATGCCATGAATTCTTAGAAATTGAAGAAACAAAAGAAAGCCCTTGGCATAAAATTGCTCACAATTTAACAGAGATTATAAATATTTTAAATAAAAATATCTGAGGCCAAAGTCCAAGGAAAACAAAGCTGAAAACTGGGAGTAAAAAAGAAAACTCATAGGCAGACAAGAGAGGGCTGCAGAAAGGCTTTTAAATGAGTTTTGAACTATCCTGAAAGATGACAAGAGTTGGCACAAGAAGCACCTTACGCAAAGACGTGGCAGGAGGAGGCAGACCTGGGGGTAAGTAGAGCGACACCTGGGATCATTCAGCACGTTCCCCTCCCTTTCTCTACCTTCTCCCCTGTCCTGCCTACCTTTCACAGACACCGCCTCTGTTAAGAATCCCACAGTAGTATTATGCCGAGCACCACGGACTCGGGGGCGAGCTCAGAGTCTTTGCAAAGCTCACTGCAATGCTCACTGCCATGTGATTTGTGCTCTGGTAGATGTAAGTGTTGGGTGTTTTCAGAAGAAGAGAGGGGAGAGGGAAGTGGTGTTTGAGTGAAAGGCTGTACCCATGCAATTGGACTGATACCAGGACCCCTTGCTCTGCTCAGCCTTGTTCTGTTCACGCACTTTGAGGAGAGGGAGTCCATTCACGAATGGCTTGGGAGCGGAACATTAGGAACACTCAAGTCCAGGTGTTTACTCCATATGGCTTGGTGTCTTCCGTTGAGACTGCGATCTCTCTAAGAACCTTACATTTTTAGATGTTTTCCCACTACTTACATTTACCATGAATCAGTCTCCAATGCCTGGGGCTAGCCATGATGACAAAAAGGATTTCTTTTATTTTACTTTTTGGTCTTTTTTGAGGCAGGGTTTCATTCTGTTCAGGAGGGCCTTGAATTCACTTTGTAGCCTAGACTGCCCTTGAACTTGCAGTAATCCTCCTGCCTCTGCCTCTCGAGTGCTGGGATTACAGGCATGCGCTACCGTGCCCGACTCAAAGAGGGTTTCTTGAGATCTTTACAAACATCCAATATTTTTTAGCATAAAGATCTGGCTAATCTCATTCTGGAGTAAGAGAGTGCATAGGAAAAACCATAAATACTTTTAAAGCATCATGTAGTAAATCCTTTCATTAAAAAAGGGTGGAAATAATTTTTCAAGGGTAGGTGCGCTTCCAGTCTGACAAAGTGAGGGTTTGTGTGTCTGCTATGCCTTGGAGGGAAGGAAGGTTACCACTCCTCGCCCTCCACAGGCCTGACTTCTAGAGCAAGGAAGCTGTGTGGTCCTGCCTCACACAGAGGCCCTTGTCCTGCTGGAAGCACTGATGCTCCTTGCCCAGTGGATCACACATGTGCACACATGCCCTGGTATCACTGTGAGGCCCAGCCAGAGACCCAGCAGCATCCATGCTTAGGAGAACCTTTTCCTGACTCAGATTGACCATTTCCAGGATTTTCCATGCTGAGCGTCATTGAGAGCCAAATTGGCGCTGTAAATCAACTGGTCCTCCAAGAAACTAGGCAAAACCAAACAGCAACTCTCCATCCTGTGTGATCACAGGTTCTTCAGATCTCTTTGGAGCTCGAAATAGCTTCCAGCCTGCAGGAGGCAGACGAGCTTGCAGGTGAGCAGGGCCTGGTCTCAGGCTGAAGACAGAAAAGGGTGACTTGGGTTGTAGATGATGACACGACAGCCAGGGTTTGTAGCAAGAGGTAGCGCCAAGAATCATGGTAACTCAGTCGAGGCAGGGAATAGTGTGTGCAGCAGGTTTAAATCGCTTTTTCCACCTACTCGAATGGCACAATGCAAGGGTCACAAATCCCAAGGTTTGCTGGACAGTCAGCTCCAAATGTGGGCAGAGGGGCCAGTGCATGCAACAAGGGGGTGGGGGTGATGGGGCAGAGCCCAGAGCCTGCACTGTCCCAAAGCGAGTGGCTTCCACTCAGCTCCAGCCAATTGTCACCATGTGGAAAAATTAGACCTTCAAATGTGCACTTCCAGTTATTTTTCTAGAGAAGCATAAACATCTAGGTGTTTATGTAAAATTATATTTTAATTGGTAAAGCCCGTCAGACTTTTAAAATACTGTATTTGTTAAGATGGTGCAAATGGAAGCTGCTTTCACAGAGGACTGAGCCCTGAGTGTGTGAAATCTGCACAAAGGAACAGGGCATTTTCATATGCGGACCCTGATGTCATCTAATAGCTCGAAGGAGTACACCTCGAGACACGGCCTTGCTTCCTGTCTTGGAAGCAGGGTGCCCTGTAAAGAGTCATGCAGGCCCCTGGAGCCTGCCGCTTGCTGTGCTGATTCGCAGTTGCTTTGTGTGACTAAGGAGAGGCGCCAGAAAGCCACAAAGTATCGAGGAGCCGCCACCAGGTGAGACTGCAGCTGAGGGATGCTCTGTGTACCCAGTTTATTCAGATGTAATCATTTGTAGGAGATGGTCTAACCCTGCATTAGCAGAGAGGCTTTGTCTCTGCTCACTGCTGAATTCTCATTCAGGCTGTGTCTCAAAGCTCACTAGGTCATCTTTGCGACTGCCTGAATCCTGAGCCATCAGCCATCAGTTTGACAGAGTGCTGTGGTTGATTGTGGATGTCTGCTACCTGGCAACCGGAAGCACCTAACTGTTTCTGAGTAAATCTGCTACAGTTTTTCTTCCCAGTTTGACTCTGACGGTCATTTGGATAAAGGGATTAATCAATCAATCTGGCTAATTCAGAGAGCCCCATATGATTGTGTAGATCCAGGACAGTAAGGAAAGGATACTTGAACAAAGAAATACAGAAGCTAAAACACACAACAGAAAGGAATAACTATTTTAAGTATTGTTGTCTTATTATTTATGGGAGTTTACCTGTAGAGAATTGGAAGGCAATTGGAAAGCAAAATTTGAGAGGACAAACTTTACATCCATTTAATAATCACAAGATACTCTCAATATTTTGTTGATTTCTTCAACCACTTTTTAATTTCTTGGTTTTTTTCCCACAGTCACAGAAACAACCTATAAAGCTAGGTGGTCAGTGATTCCCCCGGGGCGTCAGTATTTCCATTCCCTAACTGTGTGTGTGTGTGTGTGTTCCATGTTTTCCTTTCAGAAAAGGATGGGGCAGCATCTTTAGGGTAGGGAGGTACTTGGGCGCCTCTTAACCGGTTTCCACTTTTGAGAAGCCTCCTCTCCTTCTCGCACCCCCATCAGGTAGGTGCACTGGGCACCACCTCAGGTGTTACCTTTTCCATAGCATCTTTCCTGAGCTGTCCATCATGTTCTAAGCATGTGCAGAGTGTGCAGGAACTGCAGTTAGTGTGGAGCTGGGGGAAGCCCTTGGTATTTTAGGTTCCAGAATCCACGCTCCGTCCACATCACATGACTGCCCTCTTTTACTTCCACTTGATAATCTAAAGCTCTCAGTTGGAGAAGCTTAGCTCTTTCCTTGAGATCACCATTGCAGGATGTAGCAGGGCCAATTCTAAGACTTCTTCTGGACCCAGAAAAACACAGAACACAGCACATATGACAAAGAAATGAGCAAAGGGTGGCATCAGGAGATTCTCAAAGAGCTTGGTGGGCTACCTGCCAGAGCCATTGCTCCTTACCAAACATGGGGTGGGGGTGGGGGTGGGGGTGAGGGCTCGAGGGGTTTGTAAACACTGCA